GTTGAATTGCGCGGTATTTGGAGTGGTATGCATGGGCCATGGTGATGTACCTGAAGATAATGGTAAGGGCACCGATAAAATGTCACTAATTAATAATTTGTAGATTCCATGTGTTATGGTAATTTGAATCAAATGTTCGCATTTTGGCATGCTAAATAACTTGTTCACATTTTAAATTCCTCAAAGTTACAATTTGTGCATTTATTTAATGTCGAGTCTTGAAATCGAAGTAAATAAGATCAAATTTAACGTAGAAACAAATTTTACAGTTTGGACAAAACTAAATCAAATAGTACTACGATATGTCGATGTACTCAAGCGATGTTTTACACAGCAGCCAGTCAGATAAATTTAGAAAATGACCATACAAATTCGCCTACGGTTAACGGAAATGTAGTTTTGCAAATGCACCCAAACATTTCCTTACCATTTATGTTATGACAATGGGCAGCATTATCTTCCCCTGACGGCCGGAGTTGCTGCAGATCGCGCCTGCATAAAACAGCATGTTTTGTGCGACATTGAAAATGGGAGGGCCTACTTTCTGCCGGGTTCCCAAATGGGGTAATAGAGAAGTGAACTTAGGGAGAAGAGGTCTTTTGTAAAGATAATGTGCTTATTGCTTGTACGGCGCGTCTATATGTTTTCTAGAGGAATTTAGGCCCTAGCATGTCTTTCGCCCTTGTGAATTTGCGTGATACTTATGCTGTTTTAATGGGCCTTTCAGGGAGGAGGTAAGGCTGTGAATCGAATCTGATGACAGAGTTGTCAACTTCCGTGCTTAAGTGCAATTGCGCTTTCTCCCCCCTTCCCAAACTTTGTATTTGTTCGCCCGATCACTTTCCCCCTAATAAATATGTCGAAATTAAATCCACCGGGTTGTTCTAAGCGCACTAGGAACAGAGAAGAGGATTTGTGAGACTCGCCATGCATTTGTTCAAGTCGAAATGACCTTAACCTATTAGTAAGCACTAGTAGGTAAGTTTTGTCACTGAGTAATATTTACCAACTAAATAAGGCAGAAAGAGTAGAAATCCAGCAATTTTAGGAACGAGCATATTTCAAAGTATTAGACCGAAAGGACTTGCTCTCTAGTGCAGCGAACTTCTAAAGGAAGATGGGATGAATGCTATAACGATCTGTTCGTGTCTTAACCCACCCTAATTTCTCACGCATCTATTCTATTTCCTATGTAGCTATGTGGTTGTCAAGTCTCCAGTCAGTGTACAGGGGTGATAACCTAGTGGAGACATAGTGCTACCTTCAATATTTTCATCAATATTGGCTTGCCATCAGCCATAGTAACGATGTGATAGTCTGTCTTAGAGAGCCCCCCCTTCATGTATTTGGGCCACCTCACCCAGCACGATGATAGTGCTATTCGGTCCAATGCCTCTGGCCACATTCACCTCCTACTCTGTGCCAATTGAATTGGTTGCCTGCACAGCCACATAGCATGCCACCGTCCAGTTCCAATTAACAAGCTTGTTCAACTCGTTGCCAACGATGCTGC